TAATTTCTGCTGCTGCTCGGTCCCATTCTAATGCATTCCAGTTCATGTCATCTGAAAATAAAATTGCAGTTTAAAGATTACTGATGAAGGGACAGCAGGTGGTGTGATGGTTAAGGGCATTGGACTCCCACCTGGCTGACTGTGTTCGAGTCCCAGACCTGGCAGCTTTCTTTCTCACCCTCTGTCCCCCATCCCTTTCTGGTCAAATTAAAATAAAGTAAGTTAAATAAAATAATCCCTACCAAAAAAAAAAAAAAAAAACTGATGGAACTTGAATTATAAGTAGTAAAGTACACTCTCACCCCCAAAACTTAACTGTGGTTCTGGTGTGATGCCTGTTCGTTTGCTTTCTCACTTTCTCTCTCTCTCTCACGTGGTATTACACTCTGTCTACTCTGGTCAAATTAAAATAAAGTAAGTTAAATAAAATAATTCTTTAAAAATATATATATAATGGAACTATCACCGAAAGATTTGAGGGCAGGAGAGTACTACGAACTATGCAAGGCAAGAACAGGAGGAGATTCGTTAGGAGCTACTTCAGTGGCCCAAGAAAGAGAAAAATGGCTGGACACATGGGTAGCAGCAGGCGGCATTCTCAGAGCCCTGGCCTCTCCCCACAAAGGCCCCTAACTCCCATTACATAATTCACTTCTTATCTGTCAGGTCTCAGCTCAAACATCATTTACATAGCTGCTCAGGAAATCTTACTGAAAATGGGTCTCTCCTCAATAGCATCCTCAGAGCAACCTGTACAACACTTGTAACAATGTATATTTCTGGGAACCAGCAGTTAGCATAATGGCTATGTCGCTGGACTCCCACGTAGTCGACCGCAGTTCGCGTCCCAGACCCAGTGGCTTAAAACTCACTCCGGGTGTGTGTGCGTGCGTGCCCAAGATCCCGAGAGGAGAATGGAGGAGAAGAGACTGCGGCGTGACCATCCCCTCTAGGGGGTGATTTCTCGCTTTCTGTCTCTTATGTCTCTCTCTGTCTGTCTGGCGAGCGCATGCACCCTATAGCGAAAACCTCTCAAAAAAAAAAAATAAAAATAAAAAAGTATATTTCCTTTCTCTTCACTAGACCAGAAACTCCATACACACGCATCAGGTAGTTTATTCACAATCGTTAACACGTAGCAGAATGCCTAGTACTTGGAGATAGCAGACCCAGTCCTGGGTATTTTACGTTCTAAAGTCAATGCTGGAAAATGAAAACTTGCTTTCATTATGTGGCACCTGGTCTATAGTATATTTTTATTATATAGTTTATTTTTTTAACGCGAGAATTCTTTTTCAATTTTAAAAGCTGTACTGATCAATAGAAATGGGAAAAGCAGCAAAAAAAAAAATAAATCAGTATCAAAGTCCTTTAAAAAAAAAATAGGATCTGTACCAACTTAACAAATAATTTCTTCCTAGTCATCCTGTTCTGTGTAGGACCAGCAGATGGTATGGAGGTTAAAGCCTGGATTCCACACGGCCACACAGTTTGAATCTCAGAGCTTGAGAAACACACTGGGCACATGTACATGCATGCCCCAAATCCTGAGAAAATAAATCCTAAGAGAATGAAGAAGGGATTGTGGCAAGGCCACCCTCCTTGTGGGATGATTCTCACGATTCCCCCCTCCCCCCATCTCTGGTAAAGCACATGCCCACTAGCAAAAAACTGGAGAGTCCTGTAAAAGAGACAATTTTAAGGACATCTCGGTACTACAGTAGTTAATTATTATATACTGGGAGAAGAATCCCACACAGCCAACTGTGGTTCAAATCCTGGTCTAGTGGCTGGGAGAAAAAACACACTGGGCTGTCTATGTGCACCGAGGATGCTGATGGGATGGAGAAATGGAGGTAAAAAGACTGTGGCATGACCCAGTCCCATTGGGGGGGGTGGAGGGAGCCTCTCTCTCTCTTCTGAGCACATGTACCCTTTGGAAATTAAAAAACTGAACCCAAAAAAAAGATTTCAGGGCCAGCTGGTGGCCTGGTGGTAAGGTGGTCATATCCCACAAGGCCAGCTGCACAGTGTGAGTCCTGGACCTGAAGACTGGAAAAACATGCCAGGAATGTGTGCATGCCCAAAATCCTGAAAGGAGGGAGAAATGGAGCAGAGTCTGCATTTTGACCACCTCCGTGGGGATGCTTTCTCACTTTGTGTGCATGCATGCCCCAAATCCCAAGAGAATGGAGAAGAAGGGCATGCAGTGCGGCCAATACCCTGGAGGTGATTTCTCACTTTCCCTCTCTCTGTCTCTGTCTCTGTCTCTCTCCTCTCTGGTGAGCACACACATCATATCACAAAAACCTAAAAAAAGAAAAAAAGAAAAAATAAAAATAAAATGGGCTTTGTTAAAAAAAAAAAAAGCATATGTATGCATACGTGTATTCACAGATACCAATTTGCCAAAATAAACAAACAACAGGTTAGAAACAGAATTTCAAAACATTAAAATTAGAAAATCCCAGTCCTTCTCAATGTGAGGACTCAGGGTCCCGAAGAAGAATGAGGACACACGAGTGGTCATTACCCTGCGCTCCATTATTAGCATCTGCTGCATCTTCCACGCCAGCATCGTCTTCTTCCTCATTGTCTTCCTCTTCTTCCTCTGCCTGTTCATCCTGTGCATCAGGGTTTTCCCCTACCACTGCATTCTCAGCTGGTGGGTTAGCAGGCTGATCAGCAGCAACATTTTCTGCACCATTTCCTGCTGCCGGAGCCTGAAATGACAGAAGAGCCCAGAAGCTTAGATAACTTGTCTTGGTACTACTCTATTTCCAAATTACTCTTCCCATGCTTAAAAAAAAAAAAAAAAGAAAAGAAAAAAAAAAAAAAAAAAAAAAAAAAAAAAAAAAAAAACAAAAAAAAAAAAAAACTAACAAAAAC